AAAGTATTTGTACATCCCTCCAAATCACTGGATTCAGGTGTTTCAATCACCTCCATGGCCACAGGTGTATAAAATCAAGCACCTAGGCATGCAGACTGCTAAATAAATAAATAAATATATACTGTATATATATATATATATATATATATATATATATATATATATATATACACACACAGTTGTGCTCAAAATTTTTATACCCTGGCAGAAATCGTGAAATTTTGGCATTGATATTGAAAATATGACAGATCATGCCAAAAAATGCTCTTTTGTTGAAGGCTGATGATCATATGAAGCCATTTATTATCACATAGTTGTTTGGCTATTTTTAAATCATAATGATAACAGAAATTACCCAAATGGATCAGAAGTTTCCCTCCCCTGGAATGTTTGGCCTTGGTACAGACACACAAGGCGACACACACAGGTTAAAATGCCAATTAGAGGTTAATATCCCATATCTGTGGCTTTTTAAATTGCATTTAGTGTCAGTGTAGAAATAGTCAATGAGTTTGTTAGCTCTTACGTGGAAGCACTGACTAGGCTAGATACTGAGCCATGGGGATCAGAAAAGAACTGTCAAAAGTCCTGCGTAACAAGGTAATGGAACTTTATAAAGATGGAAAAGGACATAAAAAGATGTCCAAAGACTTGAATACGCCAATCAGTACTGTTAAATCACCTATTAAGAAGTGGAAAGTTCAGGGACCTCTTGATACCAAGCTAAGGTCAGGTAGACCAAGAAAGATTGAAGCCACAACTGACAGAAGAATTGTTCGGGATATAAAGGGAAACCCATAGGTAACCACAAGAAAAATACAGGCTGCTATGGAAAAAGACAGTGTGGTTGTTTTGGAGGAGGACAATATGATGACACTTGAACAAAAATGAGCTGCATGGTGGAGGTGCCAGAAAGAAGCCTTTACTGCATCAATGACACAAGAAGGCCCGGTCAGGTATGTCAAGGTGTTGTCAGGCATATTGTAACCGGGCTTTCTTGTGGCATTGGTGCAGTAAAAACTTCTTTCTGGCATCTTGACCAAACAGCTCATTTTTGTTCAAGTATCACCGTATTGTACTCCTTAAAAACAGCCACACCATCATTTTCCAGAGCAGCCTGTATTTCTTTTGAGGTTGCCTGTGGGTTGTTCTTTGAATCCCGGACATTTCTTCTGCCTAACCTGGATCTGTACCTGCCGATTGGTCATATAGCTGTGTCTAACATTGTGAAGGCATTTTGGTCCCTTGGGGTCGCTACATGAAGGTGAGGGGGCAATCTAGCCGGTGACGGATCCTATTTCCCTACACCTGCATCACTTATGTTCTTTGCTGGAATTTCCACTATATCCAGCCGTTTGAGGATTCCACACGTGGACATTTGTTCTTTATTATCATTATTGGTGGCGCATATTTGTGGCATTTTCTGCCTTTTAGTGCTTTTTATTTACGTAGCACAGTGTGTCACTTGTCAATAATTTGTGTTGTCGCATTTTGTTGCTCATCTAATAGCACTTTTAGTCCCAATGTAGGGACTTGAGCACATCATTTGTATTCATATTTATTTATTATTTATATTTTATGGTCACCTATCACGTTTCTGATACACATATATGTGGAAGGACTTTGTTTGGTCCTATGTTTTGTCTTTAGTCAGGTTTCATCCTGAGCGTCTTACTGTTTATTTTTGAAGGCAACATTTATGCCAGTTGTCAGTCTATTTTCACTGCACAGTTGTGGGCATAATTTATGCCAAGTGTCCATCACTTTGTGATTTTGTGATGTATGTCACCTTTACCCTTGTTTAAGGAATGCATGTGTGTATTTGCACTATTTCCTTTTAGACTTTGACATGCATTTATATATTTGTTTGTTTTTTTCATATGTGTGTAGATTTTGCACATGATTGCACGATATTGTTCATATTAGATGTTTATACATCCCATACAGCGGACCTTATAAGAGGAATAGTGTACATATGGTGCAGCGCTAAATATAAATATAAAGTGCACTAAATACAATAAATAAATCAAATAAATACCAACATACGGATCCCAAAACAGGGAACTTAAATTAAAGTGCAAAAAGCCTTAAAGTGCAATTGAACGAATAACTAAAAATGGGTCATAATTCCAGACCCTAAATACTGTGAAAAACTCCAAACCCAAATCCCAAATTTGGGATAATACACACCAATAGTGTAAACAAGGTGAATCCCTACAAATGGGATAAATATAAAGTGACAATTGCCAAAACACACAAATATGTGTATACACTATACACACAGTGAAAACCACAAAAACGATCTTAACCATTTGCCGCCCGCAGTATGGCGAATGGCCTGCAAATGTCATCAGCATTTCTGGTGGACGCCATATGGCGTCCTCCCGCACATGCGCAGATTGCGCTCCTGCAGAGCGGGCAGTGGCGCGATCTGTCACCGGCCGTGTACCTCGGACACGGTCAATGACAGATCTGAGTACCGGCCCCCATTGTCGGTACCATGTGACCTGCTGTGACCAATCACAGCAGGTCACATGACAGTTGTATATTCATGCCTCATTCATGCCATCCATTGTATACTAGTGTCTAGCTGTGAATGGTCACAGCTAATCACATGAACATGTCATGTGATTAGCTGTGGCCAAATCACAGCTAAGCACAAAAAAAAGAAAACCCTGAATGAATCGATGTCATTCAGGTAAATGCTTGCTTACAAGGATGTCATCCCAATACCTAATGGCAGTCAGGGTATTGTCTAGCCTGTAGAGGTCTGTGCATCCCTCCATGGATATGCCTCCCCAGACCATCACTGACCCACCACCACATTGGTCATGCTGAACGATGTTACAGGCAGCAAAATGTTCTCCATGGATTCTCCAGACCCTTTCACGTCTGTCACATGTGCTCAGGGTGAACCTGCGCTCATCTGTGAAAAGCACAGGGTGCCAGTGGTGGACCTGCCAATTCTGGTGTTCAATGGCAAATGCCAATCGAGCTCTATGGTGCCGGGCAGTGAGCACAGGGCCCACTAGAGGATGTTGGGCCCTCAGGACACCCTCATGAAGTCTGTTTCTGATCTGAGGTAATTTTGTAGGGCTCTGGCAGTGCTCATCCTGTTCCTCCTTGCACAAAGGAGCAGATACCGGTCCTGCTGATGGGTTAAGGGCCTTCTACAGCCCTGTCCAGCTCTCCTAGAGTAACTGCCCGTCTCCTGGAATCTCCTCCATGCTCTTGAATCAGGAAACCTTCTGGCAATGGCACGTATTGATGTGTCATCCTGGAGTTGGACTGCCTGTGCAACCTCTGTAGGGCCCAAGTTTTGCCTCATGCTATCAGTAGTGACACTGACCCTAGCCAAATGCAAAACTAGTAAAAAATAGTCAGAAAAATTGTTGCCCATCTAGTGCACCTGTTGTTAATTTTGTTAACACCAAAGCAGCTGAAACTGACTAACAACCCCCTCTGCTACTTAACTGACCAGATCAATATCCCAGGAGTTGCATTGACTTGATGCTATACTCTGATTAAAAAGTGTCCCTTTAATTTTTTGAGCAATATATATATATATATATACTATATTGCCAAAAGTATTTGGACAGCCCTCCAAATCCTTGGATTCAGGTGTTCCAATCACCTCCATGGCCACAGGTGTATAAAATCAAACCCCTAGGCATGCAGACTGCTTCTACAAACATTTGTGAAAGAATGGGTCGCTCTCAGGAGCTCAGTGAATTCAAGCATGGTACCTAAATATTGCTACTAAATATTCCACGGCCAACTGTTAGTGGGATTATAACAAAGTGGAAGCAACTGGGAACAACAACAACTCAGCCACCAAGTGGTAGGCCACGTAAAATGACAGAGCGGGGTCAGCGCATGCTGAAGCTCACAGTGCGCAGAAGTCGCCAACTGTCTGCAGAGTCAATAGCTAAACACCTCCAAACTTGGTGTGGCCTTCAGATTAGCATAACAATAGTGTGTAGAGAGCTTCATGGAATGGGTTTCCATGGCTGAGCAGCTGAATCCAAGCCTTACATCACCAAGTGCAATGCAAAGCTTTGGATGGAATGGTGTAAAGCATGCCGCCACTGGACTCTAGAGAAGTGGAGATGTGTTCTCTGGAGTGAACAATCATGCTTCTCTGTCTGGCAATCTGATGGATGTGTCTGGGTTTGGCGGTTGCCAGGAGAACGGTACTTGCCTGACTGCATTGTGCCAAGTGTAAAGTTTGGTGGAGGGGGGATTATGGTGTGGGGTAGTTTTTCAGGGGTTGGGCTTGGCCCCCTAGTTCCAGTGAAGGGAACACTTAAGGCATCAGCATACCAAGACATTTTGGACAATTTCATGCTCCCAACTTTGTGGGAAGAGTTTCGGGATGGTTCCTTCTTGTTCCAACATGACTGCGCACCAGTGCACAAAGCAAGGTCCATAAGACATGGAGGAGCCAGTTTGGGGTGGAGGAACTTGACTGGCCTGCACAGAGTCCTGACCTCAACCCCATAGAACACCTTTGGGATGAATTAGAGCGGAGACTGCGAGCCAGGCCTCCTCCCCCGACATCAGTGCCTGACCTCACAAATGTGCTTCTGGAAGAATGGTCAAACCTTCCCATAGACACCCTCCTAAACCTTGTGGACGGCCTTCCCAGAAGAGTTGAAGCTGTTATAGCTGCAAAGGGCAGGCCAACTCAATATTGAACCCAACAGACTAAGACTGGGATGCCAATGAAGTTCATGTGCGTGTAAAGGCAGGCCGACCAATACTTTTGGCAATATAGTGTATGTACAGTATATATATAATTTTATAGTACAAGTATATATTAAAAAAAATAATAATGCGGTTAAAGGTGCCCCAGCAGATGATTAAAGCAAAACAAAAAACAACTTTCTCTAACCTTATAGAAACGCAGTCCAGATGCGTTCTGGATGTGTTTTTGCATGCGCGTTTTTGATGCATTCCGGTGCATTTTTTATGTGTTTTTGGTGAGTTCCAGTGCGTTTTTATGCTTCCCAGTTCATTTTTGTCCCTCTCTTTTTCTTCAATTTAAATAGCGATATGTGCGTTCCAGTGCATTTTTGGTGCAGTTTGGTGCATTTTGCTGCATTTGTTATGTGTTTTTCCACGTTCCAGTACAACTCTGTGCAGAAAAAATACAGCATGTTCTACTTTTTTTCTGCAAACGGAACGTACTGGAACTACAAGCACTGATGTTAACTATGACATTGACAACTATATAACCTACTTTCTGTGCATTTTGGATGCAGAAAAAAAGCAACTGAAATGCATGTAGTGTGAACTGGCCCTCAGGGCCGGTTCGCACTACACGCGTTTTAGTGTAGTGGCGCCTAGTAACCTATTCGAAAAATGGCCTCCTAGAGCTCATAATCATTATTCTCGTATAGACCAGGGGCGGACTGACCATTCGAGCACTCGGGCTCAGTAGGGGGCCCCATGAAATGCCCCTGGTACCTTTTATAGGCTTTTTTTGAGTGTGGGCAAGGACATAGGGGCCCCATGATCCCCTATTGCCCGGGGGCCCCATGACTTGTCAGTCCGCCCCCTGGTATAAGACCATATTTTTCTCCCCTCGGAGATGCTATCTAAACTATACTACAAAATTATATCGACACCTTGGTTGGACCAGGATCCTGTGATACTGACGCTTTCTAAATTGACAGTCAAAATGGCCAAGCCACACTGGTGACTAAATGAGTCCCTACTTAGCAACAGGTCCTACTGTCTAGAAGTGGGCGAACATCTGAAGTCTTACTTTGCAATTAATAAAGCAGAGGATATGAATCCCACTATTAACCACATCCTTTTTGCACTATGGCCGAATGATGGCTACAGCACGGTTGTCCAGTTCTTCGAGGGCGTCATATGACGTCCTCGCAGATCGCCACCTTCCGTGCGCCTCCAGTGGCGCCACCCGGCGATCACTGTGACCGCTGTGTCCTATGGACATAGCTGAGCTGATCACATGAGGAGGTAAAAAGCCAATCACAACGGCCTTTTACCACATGATCAGCTGTGTCCAATGACACAGCAGATCACCGAGTAAATACAGTTGCCGGTCCTCGGCAGCACTTTCCTCACACTGTCACAGAACAGACCGGTACAACGATCATCAGGGCATGATCTCTGTCAAATCTAGAGTATGAATCCTTAGGCCCAACATAAATTTGCAAACTTTCCTATTATCTACACCCGTCACACAAAAGCAGAAAAGCTGGTAATCATAAATCAGACCAGGTTCCTTTTAGGCGTATAAGCTTATGATCTAGCGTGTCAAATCTAGAGAATATGAATTTTATCCTTAGTTGCCCAACATTCAATTTGCTCCCAAAAACCTCTGACCTATTATGCTAAGTCAGACAAGGCCCCCAAATAACTACACAACTTTTTCTGAACATCTTCACACCACAAAAGCTTTATTTTAACTCTTTAAGAGAAAAGCCTGGATCAGAATATATAAATTTTCAACGAGTGGTGGGTTTGACAGACCAGGTTCCCTTTTAGCGTATAAGCTTACCCAACCCCCAAGTGACATATAGTACTTTAGTACTTTTACAGCGCTTCCCTTGAACTGTCTTGCGCGATCAAAGGGTATCTAGCGGGTCATATCACTCAGTTCAGATCTCACTGCAAAGCTTTCTTTAAGTCCCACCAGAGGTTATCAATCGGATTTAAGTCTGGTGACTGCGATTGCCACTCCAAAATGTTCCAGCCATTTAACCATGCTCTAGTGGACTTGGAGGTTTATGCCCTCAAAGGTCCAACTCCAAGCCAGTTGAACCTTGCATTCCATCAATCTCAATTACCTTGCCTTCCTGGATGATTGATCCTCCACCATGCTTCACAGTAGGCATTTATAAGGCCTTGTTCTTCCTCCTCCAAACATAGCGTTGATCCCAAATGTTACTAATTTTGTTCGTTCCACAGAACACTATCCACAGTGGTTTGTCACACATGGAGGTCATATGCAACTATTCTTTGGAGACAGCTAAGACGCCTGGGAGTTCCATTACGCAAAATTGTCTGGGCTGAAACTCTTAACCCACATTGACAAATCTTGTTTTATGTTTCCTCAGCTTCCCATGGGGGGATTCCAAATAACAGCAGTCTCATCTTCTTTCTGAGACTCAACAACAATCATTAAAGGTTCTCTTGGTATGTTAACGTCTTTGCACATAAAAAGCCCAGTGAGAGAGGTCTTATACCCTTCTCTTGTCTTCCTGGAACAACCTACTAACAAAACTTTAAATGTCTGAACTCATTCTCCACATTATTGATTGCTGCTCGGTGACATATGTTTTCAACTCTTGGAAAGCACCTGAGATGAACCCCCAATAACTTCAGACTAACTTTAATTGTGGCAATGAAGAAACCACATAAGATTACTACTGTATTTACATAAACAATTGATGTCATTTTAGTTGCAATCCTTGTATTGATTCTGAATACAATCTAGTCCCTAAACCCTTTAGAGCAGTGGGTTGAATCCTTTAGATCACAAAGTATATATTAGTGTCATTCCCAAATCCAATAAAGATTCTACTGATGTCCACAATTATAGCCCTATTTCATTAATCAATTGTGACCTGAAAATCCTAACAAAACTTCTGGCTTTGCTCCTTAACTCTTTTTTGGCACAATATATACCATAAAGACAAGTCGGGATTCGTCTCAGGTCGTCAAACGTTGGACCAGATTTGCAGGCCTATCACTTTGATCTCAGCTGCCTGCTCTAATTTTGCTTCTCTCTCTGGACCTTCATAAGGCCTCCGACAGCCCAATGTAGGAATATTTGTTTACTACCTTATAGGCTTTTGGATTTGGTCCTCCGTTTCTCGCTTTATTGCACTCGTTATATGATACTCCCTTGGCTCAAGTTTCCATAAGAGGTTACTTATCCTCTGTGTTTCCAATTCGACGAGGCAGTAAACAAGGCTGTCCACTTTCCTCATTGCTTCTTGCACTGGCAATTGAATCCCTAGCTATGGCGATCCGCTCCCATCTCCATATCCATGGCATCCATTGTGGACAACAGGCACATAAATGTGCCCTATTTGCTGATGATGTCCCTATGTATATTTCCTCCCCTTTGATAACCATACCTAATTTATTATCTCTCTTACGCCAATTCTCTGCTCTTTCCAGGCTTTCCCTAAATTCCCAAAAAATGACAGCCCTTAATGTTTACTTACCTGTCTCTGTAGAACAGCAGCTCAGAAATACCTATGATTTTAAATGGGCACGTAATTCGTTGTCCTACATGGTGATACATTTAACTGCTTTGATCGAGACTCTTTATCAAGCTAATTACCCTCAACCTTTTAAACAACTTAAAGATGATCCTCGCCATTGGGCTGACTACTCCTTATCCTGGTTTGGCAGAATCAATTAGATTAAAATGATGTTTTTGCCCTGATTGATACATTATTTTTGAACCTTACTGATATCAATTCCGAGACAGGAGTTGCACCTACAAGCTGAGGTTCTCTGCTTTGTTTGAATAGTTAAGACCTCAGATGAACCAAAAAACATTATATACCTCCAAACCGAGAGGTGGGATTTGCCTTCCTAAACTCCAAGCGTATTTTCAAGCCGCTCAAATTGCCCAATTGGCCTACACCACTGCTGGGGGATCTACCCCACTGGGTTTATATCAAAGCTCTCTCTTGCCACCCCCCTAGCAGTCAGAGCACTACTTTGGCTTCCTAATCGATTGCGCCATCCTATACTGTGCCCCACATTGTCATATTCTTTGACAGTTTGGGACAGAGTATGTCACCGCAAGTCCTTAGCATCCCCCCCACAAACACCCTGTAATCCTGAGTTTGTACCTGGCTTAGTACCTGCCCTTTTCCAATGGTGGATCAATAAAGTACTGTTGCGGATAGGAGACTACCTTAATTTTGCTCGAAATACACTTTTTACAGCATCTTAAAGATAAGCTACAAATGCCCACTACTGGACTTTTCTGATATAACCAGATTGTCTCGTTTATCCGCTTGAAGCTTACTTTATTAGATGAATCACCCTTACTTACCAATTTTGAACTTTCCTGCCAGAATAGAGATTTCCCTAGAGCCCGTGTCTCCACAGTGTATGCTCTCCTCACTGATCCTAACTGTAAGCTGTCCTATATGGATCAATGGGAAAGAGACTTGAATGTCAATTGCGAACTGTCGGAATGGTAAGTTATTGCCCTGGCACTATCAAAAATTTCTATTAATACTACCTTAATTGAAGCAAACTATAAAACATTGTTGAGATGGTATTTGGTCCCTACTAGGACAGCGAGGATGCATCCATCTGCCTCTGTGATATGTTTCCAGCAATGGGGCCTGGTGGGTTCTATGTATCACATCTGGTGGCAATGTTCGATAGCAACCAGATTTTGGATTTTCATGTTTAATTTTATCAACTCAGTGATCGGAGTAATATGCGTAGATCCCCGGAGATGGCCCTTTTTCATTAATTTCTGGGAACATGTTCCCAGGAAGTCCCATAAATTGATCGCCTACAGTATATGCTGTTGGCAGTGAGAATTATTATAGCTAGACATTGGAAGCAACCGGTTATCCCACTTGGCTATGTTAAAAATAAATTGAAGTGGATTATGATTGATGACAAGCTCATCTGTATTCTACAGAATAATACAAAAAATGTTGACAAACCATGGAGCCCATGGATTCAATATATTTCTGTGCCTTGACTCCCTCATCTTGACCCTCTCCTTCGTTCTCTCCTTTGCTTTCTCTACTCCCTTTTCTTTATCCCGCTTAACTCCCTCCTCTGTTGGTTTGGGTGAGTTACACCCAATCCCTATTTACATTGCAATATTTTTCCTGCCTCGATTGCTAATTACTTTGTGCCGATCATTGTTACTTGCGGTTCTCTATACTTTACATAATTGATGGGACATTGTTCATTTGTATCAGTTGTTATCTGAAAAATTATTCAATAAAAATGATTGGAATATAAAAGATGGCTTCCTGGAGATGCTCCTGGCAGGGGTGTATTTACCACAAGGCAAACAAGGCATTTGCCTAGGGCGTCATTTTTCAGGGGGGCAGCAGCATTTTTCAGGGGGGCAGTGCTGCCCCTCCAAAGAAGGGATGGAAGAAGGGACACACGCAGCACGGGGACCAGGTGGGATCTAAGAGAGGCTGTGGGCTGCTTGCTGCCTGATTCTTGTTCTCGGGAATGTCCAGAGCTGTGAAGGTGAGTGTCTTCTCTCACGCCGGGGTGGGGGGGTTGCCAGTGTATGGGGAGCAGTGGTACTGGAAGGCTCTCTCG